TCGACTCTCATGATATGCTTTTGGGTGAGCAGCGGGTCTATTCTTGCCCCGAAACCGACACTGGGGAACGCAGTCATTTGAGACAGATTAGACATAATAATTATGTCTCCATGTATCCTACCGAGCTTCACAGAGAGGAGTTACATAACGTCTTCAGGCAGAACAGTTAAGGAAGCCAGCGGTGCCTTCTCCATGACCACCAGCAGCATGACGATGAATGTGCTGGCGGTGACACAGGCTTTTGTGTGGCTGGGATCACAGGACTATTCCCGCGTGTGAGTGCTTAGTGATTCTTTGAGTATGATCCGGCGGGTCGGGGCAGGCTGGTAACGAAGACAGTGCCTTGAGTCGTTGCAAAATTCTCCTGTGTGTGCAGTTACTTTCATATTCGTCCCAGGGTATGCAGGCGTTGTTGGTAATGAGAGAGCTGATAGACTGGCGGTTGCTGCATTAATTGAAGATTGCCGCCCCATGGATCACGCAGACATTGTCATCGCCCTTAGAGAGATAGGACGTTCTAAGGATTTTGGAAGCAACGTGTCCACATCACTGCTAAGAATACGCGAACTGGGAGTAAAGATCGGCACAGCCAAGCGTGAGAAGCACATCGGACACACACAAAGTCTTGTTAACCAACATAGGACTGGTACTGTTACCCGCACGACGCTGATGAATATGTTGAGAGGAGAATCTGAGCGCCTATGGATGTGGCCAGAGTGCTGTGAAGATAATCTAACTTATAACTCATAACTGACATAAAGTTTTCTTCTTCTGCTAGTTGTGTAGCTCATGTTGATACCATATCCAGTTTCGATATAGTCAGCTGACTACCTCGGCCATCTATTTCTAGGTCTGCCAATGGATTTAGTAGCTGTGGTGAAGCGGCTAGATGACCGCCTGTGGTCGGAAGGTCATGGGTTCAGGCTCTTACGGTACCTAAAATTTTTCATAAATCACCTTGGCTTGGCAAGTCCACCCAGCCTTGAATGGGTAGCAGGTACAGTCCTAGGAAGTCCAGTCTTGAATGGGTAGCAGGTACAGTCCTAGGAAGTCCAGCCTTGAATGGGAACCAGGTACAGTCCTAAGAAGTCCAGCCTTGAATGGGTACCAGGTACAGTCCTAGGAAGTCCAGCCTTGAATGGGTACCAGGTACAGTCCTAGGAAGTCCAATCTTGAAAGGGTACAAGGTACAGTCCTAGGAAGTCCAACTTTGAATGGGTACCAGGTACAGTCCTAGGAAGTCCAAACCTGAATGGGTACCTGGTACGGTCCAAGGAAGTAAAGACCACGTTGACCACATCATCCACCTAGAGCCGTTTGGTCTATAATGATAAATAAATGCCTAGCAGTCCTGCAAATATCGAAAAGGATCGTCTACTTCTATTGTGGACTTATTATAGCCCACTGTTCGTGAAGAGTTGAGTTAAGTCAAGAATTTACATCACAGCACTCGGGGCATTCCCATGCGTGTTCCGTCCTCATCTTCAACAGCCAGCGCAGAGTTCTAATACTCATGGTACCGGTCACAATCTGGCTATACGTCCGTCTTGCCTTTCCTCTGAGTGTAGTGAGCCGGCCAGACCCACTGGTTACACCCAGGTGTCTCATTCTCTCCAGGCCATAATAATCTTGTTTCTCTACTAATTCCGTTGCTTGTTCTCAAAGGCCTTGGCCACATCTGCCTTGTCATGCATCAATTCACCACACAGTGGTGCAGATCCAGCCAATCTTTTCTTAGGTAATATTCTCTCGTTCCTGGCTGATTTTATTTGATTCTGACCAAATGTCTTCTGTTTCTTCTTCTTCGCGTTCACTGGCTGTAAATTTCGGCCAACAAGTTGGGTTCTTCGTCCACCTCTGGACTTTAGACAAGAACCTGATATTGCGTGCACATCCGTTTTACAGAACTGACTTATTTACAGGCAGACTTTCAGTTCCTTGTCTCTCAGGCAGATTCAACTCCGATTTCGAATGAAACCTCCAGCTAGTGGACTCTTTCGACATGCTTTTTGGGGTGGCAGTGGGTCTATTCTTGCCCCCCCCCCCACACACACACCCACACACACACACACACACAATGGGACCCCGGAACCCACACAGGGATGACCAGATGTTTTTCTTCTCTTCTTATCTCAAGCATATGCGTTTGAACAATTCAATACTTTAACAACTGTAACATAACCTCATGTAAAAGACAGCATATTGTGTACGGAAATGCCTTACCAAAGCCGATAGTTTTCTCACTATTGGTATAAGTTGTCCTCGGACAGCCCAGTTCAACCCAGAGTTATCTAGTAAGTACATGGTCACATCCAGAATACAGGACTCGAACTGCAGACACATAGATACACTGTATTAGACAGTATCGTTAACAGAAGCCATTTGATTTGCAGTTTTGTCAAGCTATTGCCTTAGTACAGCGGTTCCCAACCTGTTGGTCGCGATCCTTTTGTGGGTCCAACTATCCTTTCACAAGTGTCGCAAAAGACCATCGGACAACATATACTCATTGAAGTTATGAAGTAGCAATGAAAAAAATGTGTTTAGTTGGGGGTTGCCACAACATGGGGAACTGTATTAAAGGGTCGCCACAACATGAGGAACTGTATTAAAGGGTCGCCACAACATGAGGAACTGTATTAAAGGGTCGCCACAACATGAGGAACTGTATTAAAGGGTCGCCACAACATGAGGAACTGTATTAAAGGGTCGCTACAACACGAGGAACTGTATTAAAGGGTCGCCACAACACGAGGAACTGTATTAAAGGGTCGCTACAACACGAGGAACTGTATTAAAGGGTCGCTACAACACGAGGAACTGTATTAAAGGGTCGCTACAACACGAGGAACTGTATTAAAGGGTCGCTACAACACGAGGAACTTATTAAAGGGTCGCCACAACATAAGAAACTGTATCAAAAGGTCGCCACAACACGAGAAACGGTATTAAAGGGTCGCCACAACACGAGGAACTGTGTTAAAGGGTCGCCACAACACGAGGAACTGTATTAAAGGGTCGCCACAACACGATGAACTGTATTAAAGGGTCGCCACAACACGAGGAACTGTATTAAAGGGTAGCCAAAACACGAGGAACTGTATTAAAGAGTCGCCACAACACGAGGAACTGTATTAAAGTGTCACCACGTCATGAGGAACCGAATTAAAGGGTCGCCACAACATGAGGAACTGTATTAAAGGGTCGCCACAACACGAGGAACTGTATTAAAGGGTCGCCACAACAGGAGGAACTGTATTAAAGGGTGGCCACAACACGAGGAACTGTATTAAAGGGTCACCACAACATGAAGAACTATATTAAAGGGTCGCCACAAATGAGGAACTGTATTAAAGGGTCGCCACAACATGAAGAACTGTATTAAAGGGTCACCACACTATGAGGAACTATATTAAAGGGTCGCCACAACATGAGGAACTGTACTAAAGGGTCGCGGCTTTAGAAAGGTTGAGAAGCACTGCCTTAGTACATCTGGTTTCAACAGGAATTATTTTTCAGGTTTAGGTAGATCGTCACGTTCAACCAGCGTCCCCGAAGTGGGAGCTTTAGGTTATAATTGTGACCAGGCTATGTGCGCCACACAGAATAGCTTGGCATTGAACGCCAGCAAGTAGCCATAGAATGGATTCCTGCAGTGCTGTTGTAATCAAGTGACACAAACTCAAATACAACGACAAATTTGTCTACCGGTCGCGGAAGTTTTAAAGGTTGGATTTCACTATGTCAGTGATTCCTAAAATGTGCGCCGCGGCGCCCTCGGAGTCGCGACTTCTTCACGGGTATGCCGCGAAATGTTCGAAGATACACAGGTTTTTTTTTTTTTTTTATCTCTTAGAAACGAATAGTCTTACTTTTGTTTAGGGCGCCGTGGAACAATTTTAATTGGAAAAAAAAAAGGTGCCGCTACTAAGACAGGTTTTCGAAACACAGCCCCATGCCTTTCTTATCATTACTGTTCTGGTGTGACACTATATGTCCCACAGGCCTCCATTCCATTCTATCCTCTTCGATATCATAGATGGAATCCAGTCCAGCAGCTTTGGCCTCTCTCATCGATATTCATTTTACGGTTTCTTTCGCCTGCTTATTTTCTCACACATTAGAATGACCTGGAAAAAATACCTATACGATGCTAACTACCCGGACCTCTGAAATGATGCTTGCCACTCTGCACGGAGCATACCTGTCTTCACCTTTCTCAACATGCTCTGTGAGTCAGTTACAATCACGGCATGTGTGTACAGCTAATTCTCAAGCCAGCGGAAGGCAGCAGAGACTGCCTCCACCTCCATTCTCAAACCAGACGTTGTGATATTATATGCATGGCTGTGCTGCACTATGCGACGTCAATTTGCCTTTGCTATCAAACCCCATGCACTTCGTCTGCCCCTCAACACAGAGCCATCTGTATAGATAATCACATCACCTGGGTGGGAATTGTCAGGAATCATTTGTTGAACCTCTGATTCTGCAGCACCAGCTGGCCAGTCTCGGCACTCACGACCTAACGTGATTAGAACCCTACACAAGTCTGAGACCTGTTTGGACACCTTGACCCACTCATCTCCTCGCTCAAAATTATCAAGCCTGCAAACATGTCTTATTGTGTCTTCAGCTTGCGCCATCCAAGACCTTCCTCTTTTCAGTCTGTGACCCTTAGCGCTACGCAGGGCTTCATGCAGGAGGTGTCTCTTGTCTGCAGCTTCTCTGAGATATGACTTTACTTGCACAACTTTGAGCTTATCTGCAAAAGTAGGCAGTTACTAGCATTAGAAAAAAAGTTAGAGTAGGATCATGTTGTTACTATACTGACAAAGAATGAAATAGTTCGGCCATCTATTGAGTAGGCAGCCAGACTAAACTGCGTATGAGACTTTTTACAGCAGAACATCTGAGAAAAAGGCGGGATGAAGACCAAGAAAAAGATGGATAAATAGTGAATCCAAAACCTGCAAAAAATTGAACAAATCAATCACCAAAACCACCCGAAAAGCGAACCACAAATACAGAAAATCACGACACTGGGCTACAATCTGTTATTAGTGGAAAGGCAACAGAATGAAGAAAGAAGAAAGTTTGACTTGCACCGGTGTTTCTCTTGACCAATAGTTTTTCCTTGATATGTTGTATTTTGAACATTCTTGTCTCAGGTGCCAATCCACATGCGCACATGGCTGATTCGCCAATCTTAAAATGTGTGTACGTATGACTGCAAAGTCGACTGTGTCCTGTTCTGAGTCAGGGACTCTCTTACTTATATTAAATAATACAATTTAACAAGACTGTGAAGTACATTTAAAAGAAAATGTTTGTTCATGTGCCGAGGCATTGTTCGCAGGTCGAGTTAAAATTTGTTGGTGGATCGATTTGTTCATGACTAAAGGCGTCCCTGACCCGAGATACCACTGCATATTGCATGAGAGTGCTCAGGCACAATCTACATTTTTTGTCACGTCATCAGAAGGAGACAAATGGAGTACATCGTGACCGTAGGAAAGTTGGAGGGAGGAAAAGAGGCAGGGGGGGGGGGCGAGATAGCAGATCGTGGACAATTGGACATCTTGGCCTGGGAGGTCACCTGTGTACGTGAACAGACGTGACCCCCAACGACACACGGTAGAGATTGCAAGAAGATTCAGCAGAAGACTCTTAAAAAAAGTAAAGTAAAGATCCCTTCTCACCCCTTAGGCGCATCGGGTATATGGGTAGAGCGTCCCATATTTTTACAGACCAATCGACACTGGATGGGTAATGTGGTCAGCATTACACCAGCCGTCTTTACTTCCCCAGGACAGCCATCCTGGTATCCATTTTAGGCTGGGTCGACCTGCGACGCCCCATACCATGATAAAAATCCACGCTAGAAGAAGACTACTGGATTCTTACCGGATGTTTACACTGGAATCACGACACCGAATGAAATGACGATACCTGGCCAAAGTTCCATGGCTTTGAGGTGATACTTGTACTTGTTCCACAGAATATGATCCCAGTCTCGTTTAGTATGTACTCATCGAGAAGCTTCTCTTCTGTCATGTGCACAACATCATCTAGAAGGCACGTGGTTTATAAGTGGCAGAAATAATGCACAGATTAAATAGCAAGTCCATGACCGCTCTAGCTGACGGGTGGTGCTGCTGACGTCACCGGGTCGGGCTAACGATGCGTTATCGTAGCGGTTCTCAAACAAGAAATAAACTATTTCCGACAATGGCCAGGAAAGCTAACTTAAATTTTAATTTTTAAGTATCTACATGCCTTTTTTAATTATTTCACAATTTGTAGCCGACTTTTCTTGATTATTGCCGCGGCGCCCATGGCATACGCTCACGGCCCCCCAGAGTGCCTCAGCACTAAGTTTGAGAACCGCTCTTGACGTCAGCAGCAGGGCCCGTCAGCTGAAGTAGGTCGTGGTTCATTATCATGTAGTATGTCCCTTGCAGAGCGTCGCTCTCATCACGGTTTGCAACCAGCTCTCCTGCCTCGTGTGCTTTCATATTCAAGGAGTCACTTGTCGCCTGTGCCCATCTTCGTGTTGGTCGGCCCCTGCCACTCCTTCCTGGTACCATGCCTACCGCTATTTTTTGTTTTCCTAATCCGCCATGGCTCTTGAAATGACCAACATTTTTCACCTTCAGAGACAAGACGCTGTTTATGAGCCAATCTTCCTTGATGTTCGGATTTGTTACAATGTCAGCATTTACCACTCTCTTCTTTGTCTACGGTTTTACGAGAATCCTTCTATAGCATTTCAGCTGTGGTCGGGGACCAGCAATGATATCAAAATCAAACTTTTCTTTTCAGGTCATGCGTCGGTGCTTTCCTAATATCCTGCCACAGACAGGGGAAATCCACAGGTCACGGGTCAGTCTAATATTTAAGGAGGTGGTAGATAGACTGCATGCAGTCGTGGAACCTAGGCTGCATGCAGTCGTGGGACCTAGGCTGCGCTTTTTCGTGCGACGTAGGTGGGTTGGGGTTAAGACCAGTTCTAGATGTTTTGAGGTCGTAAAAGGCATCAGAAAGCCGGAAAACCTAATCTGACCATTCTAAAATGTTGGACTGTCTGTGACGTCATCTGGGGTAAGATATTAATCAAGTACCCATGGGTCTACCCTGTAGCACCATTCACGGGTGTGGGTCATGGACTATCATTACGGAAGCAAATAACTTTTCCTCTCCGTGTAGGATCCGCTGCTTCCCTTGGGGAGGGGGGGGGGAGAAATAGACTCCCGGTCTTACCAGCAAGCATGTCGTATGAGTCAACCAATTGGTTGATTTCCTTAGAAATAGGAGTACATTTGCCTTGGAGGCAAGAAACCAAGAGTTTGCATTCAAAAGAGCCAAATGGGTAAAACGGATGTGCACGCAAAACTCAAGTTTCTAAAGCAATATTGATATCCAAAGGTCGACAAACACCTAGAACACCGGAGTTTATAGGCAGTAAACGCAAAGAAGATGAAGAAGAGCTGAAATACTGTAGAAAGATTCTCAGAATACAGTGAAGATGAAACCTCGATTAAGACTAAGACCTCTTCTTTGCGTTCACCGGCTGTACACTCTTGCAAAAAAATATGTGGTGGTTCGTTCACTCGGGACTTCACTTTGTTCCAGAACCCACATGGAACAACACAGTGGATTCTCTCCAGTTTAAATTTGTTTTTTAAACAAAAACTTGTAAGAGCTTTTCCAGGAACGAAAGATCGACGCTAATGAACAGAATACGGACACAGTCTGATCTGGTAGTCTTAGTGTCAGCTTCATAGCAAACGGGTCACCCCATCTTTGCTCCGCTCCTGTGCCAACGAAAAACACACAGAATGTTTATCACAGTATTAGAACTGCAGTTCATCATTGATGGTAGCAGAAGTCGCCAACAAATCAGCAGTTGCCCACGCCATCAATTTTAACCACATACGGGCACCACAACACTGCACGACAGGCATCGCGCCATTGTCTGAATCTACAATTCACACCAACACGTTGGTCACAGTCGAAAAAACATTCCAAATGCAATACGCAGCTCACAGTTTCACACCATGCATTCAACTCAGAAGCTGGGCGACGAAACTATTTCCAGTCTACAAATGGAGCAAAAATGCATCGGTCACCGTCCTGCAGAAGCAAAAAATTTGCTTCTGCTTCGAACAGTGCCTCCGCCTAACGTCCATTTTGACCGGACACAGTCCACTATGAGGCGTATAGTTCGGATATGCAGTCCTGAAGACAGGATATAGAGCCGTGAAAGACGTACCTTTGCACCAGGGGTTGAACAAGATATAGATAGGGTTCTTGTGGTTGTATCTGTACACGTTTAACCGTCTGTCCTCTTTCTTGACCACGTCGATCTTGAAGGTCCATTTGGCCACGAAGCAGTTCGATGGTGTGAAGATGTCCATGGTGATTGTGTTGCCCTGAAATGAGGCATTAGTAGTCATCATCATAACTAGCTTCATTGTCAGTATATAACCACCCCCTCCCCCTCCCCCCCCCTCCCCGCCGCCCCCGTGTTGGTTCCGGGACCCTATTGTAGTTAAAACGATAATAAACCCACTGCCTATCCAAGAAGCATGTCGAAAGAGTCGACTAATTTGGAGTTTCCAAGTCGGAGTATATCTGCCTAAATGACAAGGAACCAACAGGCTGCATGCAAAAAAAAGTAAGACATGTGAAACGGATGTGCACGCAACACTCAGTTTCTGTAAGAGAACTAGAGTCCGGAAATGGACGAAGAAGTAGAATGTTACATAAACCGTGGGGAGGAATGGATACCCATACCAAAGGAATACAAGCAGTACTTCGTGGTGGTTATCAACCTGACAATGCCGTGATCTGGCGCCACTAATAGTTGATGTAGCAGTAAAAGCATTGGTGGAAGAATATGCAACACCGTAAGATGCTGTCGTATATATACATACAGATGGTTCTGTGATTCGTCAGAAGCGAAGGGCATGGCCTTTCTGGGCAATAACTAAAGGAAAAGTCATCAAAGAAGACAGTGGAGCCTTTGCTTCTATCACCAGAAGCATGACAGTGGAATGGAGGTCATGGCTGTGACAATTGTCCTAGAATGGCTTCAAACTCAGGAATTCCCCAATGCATGTTTGCTCAGCGACTCAATGAGCATGCTACAGAAGTTCAAGGCAGGGTATATAAAGAAACAGTGGCTCCATCTGATACAGCAGGCAGCGTTTCGCAAAATCTCCTTTATTTTTGCTGCCATGGTATGCTGGTGTGAAAGACAATGAGAGATCAGACCCTCTGGCTGGCAGGGCGACTGTCATGAATGGGCCCTCTGTGAACAGGAGAGACATCATCAATGCCACACGAGAGACTAAACGCTTTGGGGCTTTCAGTTTCGGGGAGACTGATTTTTTCACTAAATAGATTGCATACCCTTGGTATATCAACTGCATCCGTCACACAGAAAAACCACACGGGAGCCGCCGGTCGTTACATCAGCCAGCAAATAACCACCGAAATAACGAATATTATTTTCAAAGGGTAACAAATCAGGCTCAACAGAATTGCTACATAGATTATTCAGTAAAGTCTGGGAGACCGAAGAAATACCAGCAGACTGGAGAGAAGGATATCTTGTGAAACTGCCCCCAAAAAGGTGATCTACAGGAGTGTGAAAACTGTAGAGGAATTATGTTGCTGTCAGTTCCTGGAAAAATATTAAGTAGAATTATTTTGGAAAGATTAAAAGATACTATTGATAAAATGCTAAGAGATGAGCAGGCAGGTTTTCGGTCAAACAGATCCTGTACTGATCAGATAGCCACATTACGTACTACAATATAGCAAAGCATTGAACTGAACTCACCACTTTACATTGGATTAATAGACTATGAAAAAGCATTTGACACCATTGAAAGGGAATCTCTCTGGAAATTGATGGGGCACTATGGAATCCCACAGAAAATTATCAACTTAGTAAAGGCAACATATAAAGACATGAAATGTCGAGTTCTTCATGAGGGAAAGCTAACAGATGCATTTGAAATAAAAACAGGTGTGCGATAGGGATGTCTTTTGTCGCCTCTCTTATTTTTACTGGCTATAGACTGGACTATGAAAACAGTAACTGCTAACACCAAGAATGGAATTCAGTGGACCCCTACAAAACAGCTTGATGATCTGGACTTCGCTGATGATATTGCTCTTCTCTTAATGGCACCCCACTCCAAGACATGGAGTCGTACACCTATTTAGGCAGTAATGTAGATAAAGATGGAGGAACTGAAAGAGATATTAAAATAAGAATACAAAAGGCAAGAGAGGCTTTCATAGCACTAGGGAATTTGTGGAGGTCAAAAGAAATTAAAAGAAATACTAAACTAAATTTTTTTAATTCTAATGTCAAATCAGTACTTTTGTATGGGGCGGAAACATGGAGAACAACCAAGGCAATTACTAATAAATTACAGACATTCATTAACTGGTGCCTGCGCAGATTAGAGGGAATAAAATGGTATGATAGAATAACTAATGTAGAACTTTGGGAGAGAACTAAACAGGCTCCAGTGGATCAGGAAGTGAGGAAAAGACGCTGGCGTTGGATAGGGCACACACCGAGAAAACAGGAGAACAGCATAACTAGAATGTCTTTGCATTGGAACCCACAGGGGCATAGGAATAAAGGAAGGCCAAAAAACACATGGAGAAGAGAGCTGGAGAACGAGGTTAGAAAGATTGGGAGGACATGGGGAGAGCTCCATGCAATGGCGACGGATAGAACGATTTGGCGTGAGTTGGTTGAGGGTCTATGCTCCATTGGGGGATAGAAAGGCAGAAGAATAAGAAGAACAAATCAGGCACGCAGACCCGTCTTACATTCGGTCCTTCCAAACACCCTTGTTTCACTCTTTATCAATAAAGTATGTTCAAGATATGTTCAAACAATAATATGCCTATTATGAATGTAAAGCAAAAACATAGAAGCACGGGTACACTCGCGCGTACACACAAGCCCACACACACATGCAAACCCACTCACTCAGTTATACATCCACTTACATACATACACACATACAAGATGATTAGCTGGCACTTTTCCGTCTTTCCAGACAATAGTGTTATATTGCGCAATGAGGAGCCATGAGACTCACAGCCCATGGCGAAGGCGAGAATGACTAGCAAGACCCGCCGGTGTCAAGAAAAGTCTTCCACAATGATAACATGGGATTTCAGGACCATTGTTGTCAACATTTGTGTTTAATCCGTTTCTTTTTAGACGCTCAGCTCTCATCCTTTCTACAATCATTTCTTCCTTCACTCTCATTCCCTTCCTGATATACCCTTTCCACACAGCACGGTCCATGGCATTTTGTCCCCATAAGTCAAACTCAATACCCATATCATTCATGTCCCGCTTGCTCACATCTTTATACAGTAGTAGAGGTCGGCCTCGACATCTTCTTCCTGTCTTTAATTCACCATAAAGGATGTCCTTAGGGACTCTGCCATCCTCAGTTCTCCTCCCCTCCATAGCACAAAGCCTGGGCAGTATTGTAGAGACCCTATGTTGCCCATGCATAATGATCCCTCTCTCGACCTGCTATAGAGAAAGGGGACGGAGCACGTATGGAAATGCTCCGAGTGCTGTGGTGTCAAATAATTTTGTTTTCATCGATTTATTTACCCCTTTTAATGGCTAGGTCAGTTAGAACAAATTGTCCACGTTAGAATGTTTATGTTTGTCCTTTGAAAGATGACACACAATGTGGTTTTGAGGTTCTGAACAACGGACTAACATCATAGCACACGGGTAGAACCCAGAAGTGCTCCGGTCTACTGTAACTCAAGTCTGAATCTGACGAAGCTCAGCACACTGCACATGCGAGGATGCTGAAATATTTTGGGTAGATTTTTAACTCCAAATTGTGCTCGGGCAGGGTCGTTAGGCTACTCTTGTCGTTTTCCAACTGCCAAGGGATATTTTTACGTGCGCAACAATGCACACGAGCGTCTGATCTCCCTACCCAGAGACCAGGGGGAATTACTAGAAGTCCAAGTCCGCGTGAAAAAATCCCAGCTCTTAACGGGGATTGAACCCGGAACCTTTAGCACTCGAGATTGACACCCTGTCTCAAAACCACACAGCCCCTAACAATGTGTTAGCTGCAAACGTTTAAAAAAAATGAAACACATACCTGCCTAGACTCAATTTTACCTCCCCAGTTATTTGGTATATCCTCGTCCGAGAGGATAAACTCCACATAGGTTCTCTTGCTTGCCACTGGCGTGTCTCCTGTTTCAGAATGCAGTAACTTAGAACACAACATAACCTTTGACCCGTTAGGGCCGCGGAGGTGAATCGATGGAAGCACTAACACAAAAAAACCCGCCGTTTTTCTCTGCCTTTCTTTTTTTTTTAAAGTGTATGGAAACACATTTTTTGACGTCGTCAATTCAGGTTTGTCTTTACCTCCTCTTTTATATACATATAAAATATATATTTTTTTTTATTTCCCAATGCGCCCCACCCCCCTTTTTACCTCCTTCTACACTCCTCCCCCTCATTATTCTTGAAGAACACATTCTTTACTATCGAATCAGGTCTCAAGACGTACCTGAAGGAAGCTATTTTGCGACATTTCACCATTGCTAAGAGAGGCTCCTAATGTCTTGCACATTTGTATGTTTTGTCTCTGACATATTCATTAGTTTTGTGCTCTAAAAACAGTAATCGAAATAATAGATTGTAGGTGGGGGGAAAATAAACGACGTAATAATAATATACTCCTTACGTCCTTCTTAGGACGTAATTTTTTGTTATTTGAAGCCCCACTCTGGCTTTTGCCAGGGGCCGCAATATAGGCAGGCCATCAATATGGCCAATTGTCTGAACGCGGTTTCTGGGACCTCTCCACGGTGATCCTCATCCGCATGGTGGCACTTTGTGTCATCGGGTGTTTATCGCTTGTGTGATGTCCTAGTGGGGTAGAAAGTCAGTCAAACGACGTAATCGAATGCACCATTGTGTGACAATTTCAAAGCATTCGATGAAGAACTTTCGAAGATTACCAATTAGGAATATAAGAGAACAACCATTTTTATTTATATAGATAATCGACCTTTATTCCCAAGTCGACGAAAGGCTGTTTAGTATATTCTAGGTTGTCATCTTCTATCCCTCTATTGACAATTGCTATAGTTGTCACAATATTTTCCAATGTTTCTCTTCTTATGTGGCAGAAAAATGATGCCTGCATCTTTCCTAACTGCGTGATACTTTTCCATCCTCTGCATGGGCCACCCATGCTATGTTATGTTATCACAATCGACGTCACTGCACATTGGGCATTCCCATGTGTGCTGAGTCAACAGGTGCAGCAGCCACTTCAAGGTACTTCTACTAATTGTTCCCACGAGAGGTTGGTTATAATGTTTCCTATCTCAGCCTCGAGGGCGGCACAGACGTACTTCACCATACTTTACTCCTCTGTCACGCAATCGTGCTTGTGTCAGAGATTCGTCCTGATCCACTAGCCCAGTCAGTACAGAGTTCATGACATCTTCTCTGTCCCTAAATCTTCCCACATACGTTGCTGAATTGCCTGCCAGCTGGTCAGCTCGCTCATTTCCCTTTACGCCCGCAAGACCAGGTGTGTAGATCCAAGTGAGGGAGGTTAGGTGCGATTTTCGAATGCTTTCTACCCATTCACAGTGCATACCGAATACAATCTGGAAATAAAGTTTACTATGCCCTTCAACATCTTCTAAAGTCAAATTAAAACGTTTATTAGACCAGTCGTTCTATATGGCTCTCAAACCTGGAGCACACCTTAAAGAGATGAAGCCTTATTTAAGGTGGTAGAAAACACTCGGTGTCACCAACTGGAAAGAGAAGGCCAACCAGAGAGATAACTGGGAGCGGGTGATATCTGCAGCAATGAACCTCAAAGTCTCGGAATGCTGAAGAAGAAGAAAAAGATAGGTTTTTCACTGGATAACGAAGCACGTAGGAACGGAGCTACTCTGTGGATGACCATTTTACCGTGAAATGGGAAACCTCGACTAACGGCTAACATTGTTGTTTGGACAGACTGAGATTTGCCAGCAACATCCAAGTCTAAAGAACAGAACATGACAGGGAAAAACTTCATTCTACGCTCACTACTCGCCGGTGGACTCAACTTATATCGGACTAACATCTATCTTTGGGCCGGGTAATGAAGGTGTTCAAGGCAATGAGGGTGCTGATTATCTGGCGTACAAGGTTGTTGCAACAAATGGCCCGCCACTGGACGGGAGGGATGTAATTAATGCCTTGCAAGCTGCAGATTGTAGAGAAAATTACAAGGACAACCGGACTGGGTAGCCTTGTCCAAACTGATTAACATGTTAGTAAAAAGGGGCAGGGGGTGTGGGGGTGCAACCTGAAGTAGCCAGACATTAACATTTCACCAAGGGCACAAAATGTCTGAATAATCAACACCGAACGGGCAAGGTCAGCCGTTTGACTCTAGTGGAGCTACTGGAAGGAGATCGGCGTACTTATGAATCCGTCCGGAGTGCTGTGATGATAGTCCTCGGTAATCCCTAATCAGGCAACTTACCTGTCTCGAAAACCAGCTTGAGATCATCTGTTTTCTCATCATAAGGTCTGGAGAATGTGACCGTAACGGCGAACGGTTGACCACGTCTGACCACTAGCTGGGGGTTGGGACTATTCAGTCGACTCACTGCAAACTTGTTGGTGTGATGGGCCTTACTGTTGATTTCGATCTTGAAATCGACTTCGATTACAGTCAGCACTTTCTTAGGATCAGGTCCTAGAGGGAGAAGGAGGTTTACGAGTTTAGCCCGAAAGTTTTAGCGTTTTATGTGGAGTTAATTAACTACGCAAGTCCAACTCCAGGTGTGATATGTGATTACCCCTTTTGTAAATCCCACGCCTATCATGTGAGTTCAGTGGCCGTAAAATGTAGGGGAAAAGGGGGGGGGGGGGGATAGACCCACTGCCTTCCCAACAAGCACATCGTTAGAGTTGACTGATTGTGAACCTTCTTCGAAGTCGAAGTGGATCTGCCTGAGAGGCGAGGAACCAACAATCTGCATACAAATAAGTCAGATTTGTAAAGCAGATTTGCACCTAAAATTTGCTCTCGAACAAGACTATAGTCCAGAAGTGGATGAACAAACTGTACTTTCCGCCGTTGTTTACCGCAGGTGATCGTGAAAAATAGACGCACAGTCTCCGCAGCAAGCTTGTCGTAAGAGTCGACTAACTGGGGAAGGGGCTTCTTTCTAAGTCAGACTGCATCTGCCTGAGAGGCAGGAAACCAACATTCTGCATACAAATAAGCCAAAAATGTAAACCGGATGTGCAAACAAAATTCAAGTTCTGGAACAGTCGTTCTCTCTGAGAGAGAAGAGAACTGCGCACGTTCGTCTGAGAGACAGTCTGTCGACCCGGTCCAACGAAACCAAGACATTTTTTTGGGAGCACGTTGTATGTACACGGCGAACGAAATCAGGTCTTCTAACAACTCTAGACTGTTGAACTGCCCGTGGAATTCTCTACGAAATCTCACACCCGACGAGATGGGTGGAAAAACTGAATAATATTCCATTCTTTTGTGGCGGTATATGTTAAAAAGATCTCAGAGTGTAGCCCTCCATTCAGTTCTGTCCACTCTGTTCTATCCACTCTGATCTATCCACTCTGTTCTATCCACTCCGATTTATCCGCTCTGTTGTGTCCATTCTGATCTATGCACTCTGTTCTATCCACTAGGTTCTATCCACTCTGATCTATACACTCTGATCTATCTACTCTCTTCTATCCACTTTGATCTATCCACTCTGGTCTATCCACTCTGTTCTATCCACTTTGTTCTATCCACTCTGATCTATCCACTGTTCTATCCACTCTGTTCTATCCACTCTGATCTATCCACTGTTCTTTCCACTCTGATCTATCGACTCTGTTCTATCTACTCTGATCTATCTACTCTGATCTATCCACTCTGGTTTATCCACTGTTCTATCCACTCTGATCTATCCACTGTTCTATCCACTCTGATCTATCCACTGTTCTATCCACTCTGATCTATTCACTCTGGTCTATCCTGTGCAGTCTTTTAGATTTAAAAAAGTATACGGTGCATTTTAGTTTGTCGTATCTCCTTCACAGGATTTTACACATTTCTGGTCAGACAGACAGACAGACTGTAGATAAGCAGACATACAGTGGGCTAAAGAGAAAGACAGACATTGAGAACGGTAGATTCAGACAGAGAGACAGAAACGGACAAACTGACTGATAACCTGTAGATAAGCAGACATAGAGACAATTTAAAAGACTGACTGAAAGGGAAACAGACAGAGATACAGAAACCGACTGACTGACTGAAAACCTGTAGATAGGCGGACATACAGACAGTTTAAAAGACAGACTGAGAGGGAAACCGACAGAGAGGCACTCAGACTGTAGTCTAGTCCCAAATACCTAGTGTAAAAGGACCTTGGTAACTTTTACGCTGCTCTCCCCATTTGCACACCGCCACACACTAAATCGCTTCTGATTGGACGAACTACAGCCCACCTTACTTTTGATAGGTCGGCCTCGAGCGATCCGACTTTCACACAACATCACGGGGATATCTCGCACTCGCGCCGATACCGGGTGTTGTATAATTCACCATGCCAGAGCTTTTAGCACTTTTAGAACATTAGACACTGGGTCTAACACACAACCCACCCAGAGAGTGTTACAGATATGTCACAGGCAGTCTCTTTCTCGGGGGAAAAAACGTAAATGCAAGACAATAACAGACTGCGACACCCATAACCTCTACCACGGTAGACTAGTCCAACCAACTTATCAATGAGTTGACCTACAACCGGTGGTGTGCAAATGGGGAGACAATCGTATAAATAACTAGGACCTTTACTCAACTTGCTACTCTTGTTTTGGGGGGGGGGGGGAGGGGGGTATTCTACTCATCTCTTTGTGGGATGCAGTTTTTCGTCATTTTGAAGCCCCATCATGGCTCTTGCCAGGGGCCGCAATATAGCCCGGCCACAAAAACGCCTAATGGCCTTCACGGGTGATCCTCGTCCACATGGTGGCACTTTGTGTCATCGGGTGTTTATCGCTTGTGTGGTGTTCTAGAGGGGGTGAAATGTACTACTATTACTACTACTACTACTACTACTACTACTACTACTACTACTACTACTACTACTACTACTACTAGTAGTAGTACTACTACTACTACTACTACTACTACTACTACTACTACTACTCAACTTGCTCACCAGAGGTTGGACAGGGCTTTGTGGCCCCTTCCCCATAGTCAATGACGTGAGCCGGGCAGGTCCACCCGAGCGGAGTCTGCGTGCAGACCGTGTTACCGCCTGAGCCGAAAGTAGTCGGACAAGTACCACCACCACCACTAGCAGTAGTGTTCGGATCTTTTGGGGCTCCAGGAGTTCGACCGTACCGCTGTCCACGCCGGGACATCTCTGGGCGACAGTGCGGATCTGTTTGAATGAAATGGTACAGAACAATTATTAGAATACCCTAGACTGCCGTGGAGCATGTTGCATGATGTAAACATCGAGGAGAATTGGCTCGTAAACAGCATTCTGTCCTGAAAGCTAATGTATTTTGGCCATGTTAAACCTCATGGTGTAAATTTTGGAAATGTTAAACCTCACGGTGTAATTTTGGAAATGATAACCTAATTGTGTAATTTGGGAAATGTTTAAGCTCATGGTGTAAATTTTGGAAGGTTAAACCTCACGGTATAATTTTGGAAATGATAACCTAATTGTGTAATTTGGGAAATGTTTAACCTCATGATGTAATTAAACCGCATGGCGTAATTTTAGGAACGTTAAACCTCACGGTGTAATTTTTAAAATGTTAAACCTCACGGTGTAATTTTGGAAATGTTAAACCTCATGGTGTAATGATATAATTTAAAAACGAAATGCTTATTCAAGACCGCTTATGGGAGGTAAGCAAATTAGATTGCTTAAATTGTGTTTTTGGCGGCAGTTGAGGAGGGTTCTGAAGGGGAGAGAGGGGTTTCCAAACCTTGTTTAAGATCTAAATATTACTATAAATAATAATTCTGAATTGCACATAAATGTAGTATTGTATACATGTTTTGGTGGGGGGTTGACAACTTAGCTCCTGTTCAATTTTGGAGGGAGCCTGGGGTGGGTAGGTGGGGTGGGGGGGGTGGGGGGGGGGGCGTTAAAGCCTTGTATAAGTTTCTAACAAAAATGAATAGCAAATAAATTTATTAGTATTTTAAAAAAAATAATAATATGTGTATAAACAAAAACAAAGACATAATATAAATGTATGGTAGGGGTTAGCTCTCTTATACTTTTGTTTTGGATAGTTGGGGTGTGGAGCCTCAAGGTTAATAAGACCCCAGATTGAGGTCCCCATTGTAGGTCGTGTGAAACCCCCGTTATCAACTCCCAGGGGGTGCATCCGTCAAGCATTTTCTGAAACTGAATGAAAATCTATTATTTGAAAAGAAAATGGAACAAAGGAGAAACAACGCACCCATTCAATGTCATTGCCATAAATTAAAACACTTATCATGAAAAAATACAAGGAATTGTGGAGAGAACAAACCAATAGTTAACATCCACAAAAAGCCATTAGCAGACTAAACAGAAAGCAGTATACAACAATTTCCCGTCTACAAACAGGACACTGCAGGCTCAACTACCACATGAACAAAATAAAAACTGTACAGTCGGACAGGAGCACAAACTCCTGAGCACATTCTGCAGACCTGCCCACTGTACCTACATCTTCGGAAAGACACCTGGCCTAAAGAGCAAGTCGTCGTCTGTTGCTTGGGCGTTGCGAACGCGCTTCGTAATTCTGAGGTGCCGGGTTCGATCCCAGCTGCTGGTCTGGCGCCTTGCGTTGGTTTCAACAGTGGTATCGAGAAGCTGACCGTCCAGAAGCAATGGCAAACTACTGGACGTAAACTTGCCTACAAAATCCACAACAGGCAGAAAAAAATTATGAGGTTGGTTCTTCAACGCCCTGTAAAGGATACGCAATTAACTTTAACGCAAGAGTATTTTTTTTTTTAAATATACAGCAATTATGAGTTCTTAATCCTTTGGCAACCCTTCGGTCTTGAATGCATAATAAATATCGTAAATCTGTGAGAAATGCTTTTCTGCCTACCTCCGTGTGTGAACCCGGACCACAGGGAGTTCGTCACCCGGTCGTCGCGAAGTCAGGTTTAGCCAAACACGCTAGCAAGCCGGGCTAAGACAAGAGTAAAGTGGGCAGAGCAGGCTATGGGAAACCACGCAGGACCTGCAGCTGACACACGAGTTCATAGAGGCAACCCATTTGATGGTCTGACCGAATCATACGAAATCTAATGCAAAGAAGAAAGAGAAGACACTAAAGATTTTTTTTTTTTTTTTTAGTCTGACTATACATCTTTTTTTTTTTTTTTTTTAGTTTGACTATACATCTATTTTTTTTTTAAACTTTATTTAAAAAAAAAAAAAAGAAGCTAAGAATGTGTTTGGGTTTATGAACAGTTTGTATAGCTTATATTAGCAAGACCAAACAGTGTCAACAATCGCATTGATATTTGGACATTTCATTCCTCGTGTGGGTTTCGGGGTTCCATTGTGGGGTCGGGAGGAAAAGACAAGAGTTGACCCACTGACTCCCTAACAAGCATGTCGACTAATTAGGGGTGTTTCCTTCGAAGTCGGTGTGCACCTGTTGGACAGGCAATGAACCAACAGTCTGCATTTCAGTACGCCAGATCTCTATAACTAAATCATATGTACAGGCAACTAAAGTTCTCGAACACGACGAAAGTCCAGAAGTGGGCGAACAGCCAGAACTTTTCGCTGGAGTTTACAGACGGTAAATGCGAAGAAGAATGACAGGAAATTCCCAGTTGATGATAGGTAGATAAGTTGTAGGTAAGTTGTATCCCACCAAGTCATCGCACATGCGATTAACACACTGTGACACAAAGTGCCACCATGCGGATAAGAATCACCCGTGGAGAGGTCCCAGAAATCCCTTTCAGTCGTTAGGCCATATTTATGGCCCGGCTATATTGAGGGCTCCCGGCAAAAGCCAGGGTGGGGCTTCAAATAACGAAAAATTGCATCCCACATGGATTTTGGCTAGTACATTGCATATAACTTTCCGTCCTTTTTAGGATACAATTTTTCGTTATTTGAAGCCCTACTCTGGCTCTTGCCAGGGGCCGCAATTTAGCCTGGTCATAAATATGGCCTAAAGGCTGAACGCAGTTTCTGGGACCTCTCCACGGTGACCCTCACCCACATGGTGGCACATTGTGTCATTGGGTGTTTATCGCTTGTGTGATGTCCTGATGGGATAGAAAGTCAGTCAGTCAGTCATCCCACATGGGGACGACTGAACTGAGATGATGGTCATACTCTCATACGAGTGTGTTACTTGAAATGTGACAAACCTAGGGATAGACGCCTGCCACCTTTACCGTTGACTTATATTTACATTATGTTTAGTATCAGGTATCTAGGTCTTTTGCTTGAAATATAGCCATCAGAGGTCCAAGTGTTTAAACAGCATGGTCAACGGTCTGTAATTCTAGCATCTATATAGAAGCCATTTTCCTGTTGCTTAGTGACCTGGAGAAACGAGAGTTACTTCCCTTTTCCAAATTATTAACAGCATATTCAAAGTATTGGTGGTATCAAAGAAACGAATTATTCCTAAATGTGTAATAAAAGTCGATGGTGTTATTTTGGGACAATTACAGAAATTTAAGTATCTGAACACTTAGATTGGATTGGATTTTTTTACCCCACCAGGACATCACACAAGCGATAAACACCCGATGACACAAAGTGCCACCATGCGGATGAGGATCACCGTGGAGAGGTCCCAGAAACCGCGTTCAGACATTTGGCCATAATGATGACCTGCCTATATTGCGGCCCCTGGCAAAAGCCAGAGTGGGGCTTCAAATAAAAAATAACGTCCTAAGAAGGACGAAAAGTTAAGAAGAAAAGTACAATATGTACTTTAAATGTAACACTTAGATAACATCAGATGGAAGATGCATAACTGAGATAAGGAACAGAATAGGAGAGACAAAATCTGCATTTTATAAAATGAATAACTTATTGTGCAATATATCCTTGTCATTGAGAGTTAGAAAAAGAATTCTTGCTTGCTACATACATCCAGTTTTAACATATGGCTGTAAATCCTGGACAATCATTGGGCAGGGCAAACAATTTCTTGAGGCCTCGGAGATGTTGTTTTACAGAAGAATGCTTAGAATACCTTGGACAGCCAAAAAGAGCAACCAGAGGTTTTGCAAGAGGCGGGAGCCCGAAGACAACTTATCACAGACATCAGAAGGAGACAGTCATCATTTTTCGGCCATGTTATGAGAAGAGGGAAAATAGAACATGTTGTGGAAAGATTTGTGGAAGGATGGACGGAAGAAGACAACGAGAGAAGATTCTTGACAGTCTTGTTGCATGGCATGGAGGTGTGTCGGCACACGAACTGATACATGCTGCAGGAGATTGCAGATTGTGAAGAGGCATGATCGCCCACGCCAGTTGGCAAGGCACCTAATGATGATGATGATGATGATGATTATATTCAAACTATCCAGACAGACCTGCAAACACCTGGTGTCACCAACTGGAAAGAGATGGCCAAACAGAGAGGTGAATTGAGGCGGGTGATATCTGCAGCAATGAACCTCAAGGGCTCGGAATGTTGAATAAGAATGTTCAAACTCGAAAATGGCCACAGGATATAAGTGACTTCTTGAGTATGAGGCGGGAGAGCTGGCGAGAGACGAAGTTTCTTTCAGGCAGACTATGATGAAAGCGACGTTCTGTAAAGGACTTGCGATATGATGATGATAATATTTAGACTAACACTGTGCTACGAGTACCAGGCTTGAACTTTATCAAAGACCACGGCCGTCTCTATTTATATTATTAGTGTACTTCTACAACATATAATTATACTGTTAGTCAACAATTAGTAAAGAGGCAAAGAGGGACTTGCTGTGAGAGGTTAGTTAGTCAATTAAATATTGTTTTTATGCACTTACCCAGAGCTCCGAAATATCTTGACACAATTTATTCACAGTGTGGTTGCACCATTTATGCACAGTCAATATGAAAGCAATAGTTTTCTTCCAATACAAGATAGTTTGCACCTGACAACTGTCGATATTCTCTAGATATGGCTTCTAAATTACCTGTTTGTATTTTCCCCAAAAGTAAGATTTCTACATTCAGAGTAGAAAAAGAATCAACAGCCAGTTCCCAAAAATCCAAACTCTGACTAGAGACAGTGACACACACACATCACAACACGAATGTCTTCCGTGAATTAAAATTAAAATTGCTGTAATCTAGCAGCAAAGTTTGAAAAGTTGTATATCTACTTCACAATATCCGCTTGTCGATTTGTAATACGAATACGTT